GAGAGAGAGAGAGGGAGAGAGAGAGAGGGAGAGAGAGAAATAAAAAGAAAAAAGAGAAAAAGGGGGAAAAAGGAAAAAGAAAAAAAGGGGGAGGGCTCTCCACCTGCTTTAATCTGTAGACCACTTGCTCAGCAATAGAGAGACTCTGGGCGACTCAGCACCAGCTGTTGTGGGGCCTTAAGGGCTCAGTGCGTCATGCGCCAACCTCCCTCTAGACTTGAAGTGAGCTTCCCACAATTAGTTGCTGTGTGTTCTGGAACCGTGCTCACCACCAAAAATCCTCACAGGTTGTTGCGGGCTGTCTGCTGCTGCAAAAAAAGCATCTGTGGCCTGCGGAGGTAGGGGCCAGGCACCAGGGACTCAGGGTGCCCCTGGCTACACAGCTCTAGGTGGGCGGGGCAGGCCCCCAATGCACCACAGGATGTGTTCAGTGGCCCCCACCGAGTCAGAGCAGCATGCACTCCTGCATCGGCAACCTGCCCGCACAAACTCGCCAGGAAAGCTCCGGCCGAATCACACAGGCACACAGCTCACGGCCCTACACTCCCAGGAAAACTTCCAGACTCAGCCTGTCCCAATCAGCCGCTTGAAGATTAGGCCAAGCAGCCCGACAGCCAATCGCCACCCAGGCAACTCTGCACGCGCAGTGCGGGAAGGGGACCTAAGTTGAGTCACGCACTCCCGGGTCTCAATAAGTGGTCTATTGGAGTCAGAGCGCTCCTGCCAGGCGTTTCCCTGGCTACGCAGCACAAGCAGTGCGGAGGGTGGGGATCCAAGGCCGCATGCGCACTCACGCACACACTCCTGTGCCAATTCCAGCAGACTAATGCGGTCCCAGACCTGAGCCTCAGTGGGAGGGCCCAGCCCTGAAAACTCCCAGCTCCTGCGCCAAAGGCACTCAGTTCAGTCCTTCCCACAGGCTCCTGGGCCCCGCTCACAAAGCTACTGCCTCCACCAGGAACCAGCTGAGTGCTCACCAGCGGATGAGTCGGTTTGCTGGCTCCACTGTTTCTCCAGCTGCCCTCAGCCCCACCGAGTTGGGCAAGGAGAGTCCTCAGTAATTTCTACTTCCAGCTATCATAGAACTCCTCTTCCCGGCAAAGTAACTCTGGGCTGGTGAGTGCAGTGTGGGGCCAGAGGGTCTCTCCCGCAACCAGAGAAGCCTCTCAACCACTGAGGTGTCCTTCACGGGGTTCGCCCTCTCTCGTCTCCGCCCCACCTACCAGACTCCACGTGGCCTCCTCTTTAAGTCCTTCGTTTAGAGGTCCTGTTCATCTAGTGTTCAGGGAACTTCCGAGGTTGAATATCTTATAAATTATTTGTAATTTTGGTGTGATCCTGGGAGGCAGTTGGCACAGTGTCTGTCTATTCCTCCATCTTACCGGAAGTCTTCTCTTTTGACTTTTAAAGGCTTTATTTTATTAGCATATATGTCCTTTCTGTTTTATGGATTAAGGAAGCTCTTCCCATAAATTGTGAATTAGCGGTGCCTCTATTTTAGAGGAAGATTTCAATAACCATGTCAAAACAGGCAGAGCTGGTGTCCCTTTTCCTACTAAAATCATTCCACACAGCAAAACTACCTTTTGACTTAATTTTTAGTCTACAAACTTCATTTAAAAAGTACAATACGCAACACAATGATATTTTGTTTCTATTTTAGAAAGTGTTGGCATCTCTTCTTTATACTATGTTCAGGATTCATTACATTTTATCAACTTGTAGTATAACACAAAGATTTGTTTTTAATATAAAACAATGTCACGGGCCGGCTGTGTGGCTCAGTTGGTTAAGAGCTCGCTCAAGAGTGCGAGCTCTGAGCAACAGCGGTTCGAGTCCTAGCCCGAGCAGAGCAGTCGCTGAGCTGCCAACAGGTGGCAGGATGGCTCAGCTAAAACAATAAAAAATAAAAATAAATAAATAAATAAATAAAAAATAAAAAGCAAACAATGTCACATACATTCCAAAAGCAAAAGAACAAACATTTTTTTATAAATTCCTTGGTCTTTAATATTTGTTTATACATAGTCCCTTGAGAGTTTTCATTTATTTCTTCTTTTTCCAACTTATTTTCCTTGTTAAAAAATTAGTATGTTGGGAGGGGGGTGGGGATGAGGGAGAAGGGGAAGGGGTTAGACAGCATAAATATATAACTACAATATTGCCACAGGGACATGAAAGACAGTTCGAGGAATATAATTAATGATGTTGTAAATATTTTGTAGGGTGTCAGGTGGTCACATGTCTTGCTAGGGAGACCGCATCATGGATGGGGAAGAGGCTTGATCACTGATGACTGCACTGTACACCTGAAGCTGATGTTGTATAATATTGTATGCCAATTATAAGTGAATATATATATATAGTCATGGGACGTGGAGTATAGTGTGGGAGTGGAATCAAGGGAATTGTAATAGATATGTATGATATTGGGGGGAAGTGGGGCAGCGGATTGGGGGAGGGAGGTTGTCACTTCGAGGGGTAAAAAGTATAACTATTGCACTGTGTTGTACAGCTGAAACTAATTCTAAAAAATGTATTTCATAATAAAAATTAAAAGAAAAAAATCAGTATGTATTTAATTCCCACAACTTCTCAATAATGTAAAGTATTATATAATTACATCTAAGTGGCTTAACCCAAGACTTTACTATTTTGGAAACATTGCCTATATGATCCTCTCCTTTCTCTCCAGGAGCACGAACCACCTGAGAAAGGAAAGTCTCAGACATCTATGAAAGAGGAGACAAAAGTCACAGCCTTAGTGAGTTATATTTTTCATGTACTATTGGATTCCTAGAAAAAATGATGTCACTCAATTAAAATTAAACTCTAAACATGAACCTAGTCTGTTATCCATATTGCTAAAATTATGATATTGCTTTCTAGATAACTAACATCAGTGATAAACTGGTGCATCATTTTTAGCCATGCCTCTTGTAAAGGAAAACTTAACTTATTCTTCCCCTTAAAAATAAAATCTTATTTCCCAAGATTGACATTTTCCATGTCAACAGATGGAAAAATCTCCCCAAGGGGGAGAACAGGCAAAACTCACAGTTCCAGTCTTTTCTTTCTTTTTTTTTTAACCAAAAATATGTGTCTTTTAATTGTTTACAAATTTTATAGCAATTTTTAAAGTATTTTTTTTATTTTTAAATTACAATTCACATACAATAATATATTAGTTCAGGAGTACAACATAGTTATTAGACATTTATATAACTTACAAAGTGATCACCCCAATAAATTGAATACCCATCTGACACCATACATAATTATTGACAATATTCTCTACTGTACTTTACCTTCCCATGACTATTTTGTAACTATCAATTTGTACTTCTTAATCCCTTCCTCTTTTTCACCCATCTCCCTAACCCCTCTCTCATCGGGCAACCATCAAAGTGTTCTCTTTATCTATAAGTTTGTTTCTCTGTTTTGTTTGGTTGGTTTTTTTAGATTTCATAGATAAGTGAAATAATATGGTATTTGTCATTCTCTGTCTGACTTATTTCACTTAGCATAATACCCTTTAGGTACATCCGTGTTGTTGCAGATGGCAAGATTTCATTCTTTTTTATTGCTGAGTAATATTCTTTTGTATATATGTATGACTTCTTTATCCATTCATCTATTGATGGACACTTACGTTGCTTCCTTATCTTGGCTATTATAATAATGCTGCAATGAACATATGGATGCATATATCTTTTTCAAATTAGTGTTTTGTGTTTCTTCAGATTAAAACTAGAAGTAGAATTACTGGGTCCTTCTTTGTCTCTTGTTATAGCCTTTGTTTTAAAGTCTAGTTTGTCTGGTAAAAGTATTGCACCTCAGCTGTTTTTCTCATTTCGATTTTCATGAAATATCTTTTTCCATTCTTTACTTTCAGTCTCTGTGTGTTTTTATCTGAAGTGAGTCTAGTGTAGGCAGCATATGTAAGGATCTTGTTTACTTATCCATTTATCCACCCTGTCTTTTGATTGGAGCATTTAATCCATTTACATTTAAAGTTGTCGATAGATATGTAGTTATTGCTATTTTATTATTCACATTTAAAAAAAAAGTTTCTTCTTCTTCTTCTTAAAGAAGTCCCTTTAACATTTTTTGTAATATTGGTTTATTGGTGATGAACTTCTTTAGCTTTTTCTTGTCTGGAAAGCTCTTTATCTGTCCTTCCATTCTAAATGATAGTTTTTCTGGGTAATCTGGGTCCATGCTTTTCGTCACTATAAATATTTTGTGTCACTCCCTTCAGGCCTGCAGAGCTTCTGTTGAGAAATCAGCTGACAGTCTTATGGGAGCTCCCTTGTAGATAACTAACTGCTTTTCTCCTGTTGCTTTTAAGATTCTCTGTTTGTCTTTAACCTTTTAACATCCCAATTTTGATGTGTCTTGGTGTGGCCCTCTTTGGGTTCATCTTGTTTGGGACTCTCTGTTCTTGAGCTTATATGTCTATTTCCTTTGCCAAGTTAAGGAAGTTTCCATCATTATTTGTTCAAATAGGTTTTCAATTTCTTGCTCGCTCTCTCTCCTCCTTCTGGTACCCCTATTATGCAAATGTTTGTATGCTTGATATTGTCCCAGAATCCCCTTCAACTATCCTCATTTTGGGGGGAGAGAACTTTTTTTCTTTTTGCTGTTCTGATTAGGTGTTTTCTGATACCTGATCTTCCAAATCTCTGTGTCAGTCCTCTGACTCATCTAATCTACTGTTGATTCCCTCAAATGTATTCTTCATTTCTTATTGTACTCTTCATTTTTTACTGGTTCCTTGTTATGTTTTCTATTTCTATTTTTATTTTTCCTATCTCTTTGTTGATGTTCTCACTGAGATCATTGTGCATCCTTATGACGAGTGTTTTGAACTCTGTATCTGGTAGATTGCTTGTCTCCATTTTGTTTAGCTCTTTTACTGGAGCTTTGTGCTATTCTTTCATTTGGGACATGTTTCTTTGTCTCCCCATTTGACTGCCTCCCTGTTTTTGTTTCTATGTGTTAGGTAGAGCTGCTATGTCTCCCAGTCTTAGTACACTCACCTTATGTGTAGTAGGTGTCCTGTGGAGCCCAGTGACTCAGTCTCACTTGTCACCAGAGCCAGGTGCTCCAGGTGTGTCCCTTGTGTGGGTTGTGTGTGCCTTCCTGTTGAAGTTGAGCCTTGGTTGCTGTTTGCACATCACTGGAAGGGATTGACTCTTGGGCTGATTGCTTGTGAGGACTGGCCATTATTACAGTGGAGAAACTGTTGTTCAGAGGCTGACCCTATGGAGCAGGATTCACTTTATCTGGGCTCTGGTGCCTGACGATCCTACTCTTTACAAGTGTCATTTGTGGAAATGGTTGGGTGGTGCTCTGGTGTGGTCTGAAGCTGGCCATCAGGTGTATTGGTTCTGAGGCCTCTTGGGAGGGGCTCTGGTGCAGGCCAAGCTCAGCTATAACCTGTGCCCTGCCTGGGGCCACTTAGCATGAACTACAAAGTGATCTGCAGATGGCTTCCAGTTGTGCTGGGCTTGGAGGTGCCTGGGAGAGGCTAGGCTGTGAACCAAGGCCACCTGCCACTAGTGCTGTGCTTAGGGCTACTTAGCAAGAGGTGTGGGGCACACTGAGGCCAGATGCTGCTCGTTCAGGGTTTGTGAACCTTTGAGAGGTTTTAGGAAAGTCCACAGCATGGTCAAGACAGGACATGGAAAAGCTACTGGAAGAGGCTTGGTGTGCCCATAAATTGGGTGGAGTCGCATCTCAGAATCACCAGAGCATGGCAAAGAATGTTAGCCAGGTGGATGGAGGCTCAGATATGGTGCCCGCCTGTGTCTGCACACTGGGTGATGGGAGGGCTCAATAACAGAATATGGCTTCTGTCAGCACTTTCCTGGGAGAAAGCTGCCCCTTCAACCCTTGCCCTGAAGCCGGACAATTCATTAACTCCGCATATGTCCCTGGGGCCTTTTGCACTGTTGCCCCAGCACTTGACGTTCAGAGCAAGTGTGTCCATCAGCGAGTAAATCCGTGTGCAGGCCCTTTAAGAGGGGCTCCTTGGACTACTGCCACCCCCGTCTCACTCAGCCACAATCTCCACTGGTTTTCACAGCCAGAAGTTGTGGGGACTTCTCCCCCTGGCACTGGAACCCTGCACTGAGGAGCCTGTGAGGCTGGGACCCCTCGCTCCTCAGGGGGACCTTCATAGCCAAGATATCCCTCCCAATTTTTTAACACCACACACAGGTGTGGGAGCAGCCCATTCTGTGTCTCCTCCGCTCCTACCAGTCTCGAGGTGGCATCTTCTGAATGTCCTTAGTTGTAGAACTGCTGTTCAGCTAGACTTTGGGCAATTCTTGATGATGGTTGTTCTGTAGTTTAGGTGTACTTTTGAAGTGGTCGTGAGAGGAGAAAAACACAGCATTTACCTACTCCACTATCTTGACTATTATATCTTTTTGAATTAGTATTTTAGATTTCTTTGGATAATAAAAGGAAATTCACAGGGAATTACATACAACCCAATGAAATGGCTTTACACAATGTGTCTTACTCACTTTCCATGCATTGCCCTCTATAAAAATGACTTCCTGCCTGTCAGCCTACATCTAAGCAGTAAAGACCTGGGTAGATACCTGCACTCAAAGATACCTATATTCAGTGGTATGCTAGAGCCAGCTCACCAGAGAGGATTGTGCACGTCTCTACACAACCCTGTGCTCAGTAATGTCATTTTGGTAGCTTGAAATCAGCCACAGGAGTATTAAGACTAATGACAAATACTACAAATCAGGCCTTTTTTTTTTCCTGGAAAGCCAGTTTTTCAGCATTTACCCATATATCATTGTTTATATTCTTCATAGTCCAGGCTCAAGAAGACCAAACCTAGTGAGAAAGAACTCACACTCCACAATATTTAAGGCCAAACTTTTGAGTTCCTTTTCATGTCTTAATGTCCCGGTTAGTTACCCAATAATCAATACCCAAAATGGACATCCCCCTCAAGGAATACTTTACTTCCTACCCACTGGGGCATACGTTTTCTCTACCTTTATAAATTATTCCGTAATTATACCAATACAACTCAGTCAGCCTAACATTGGCATAAGATGCAGTAGGAGGTCAGGGAAGAAGGAAAAGAGTGTTATTTCCTTACATCTTTAATCAGTGCCCTTACATAGGTTTTCATATGTTTGAGTTGAGATCCCATTGATTTCCAGCTTCAGAATAATTTATTTGCCCATATTGGGCATCATCTCAGAGGATTTTATACCATTTTGTTTGCATTTAAAAGTTTAAGAGCTAGATTTGCCTCATTATTTGTGATACGAAGAAAAGGGAGACAAACAACCCAAAGGTCTGTAAATAGGAGACGACTGAGTAAATAAATCAAAGTCCATCAATACAATGTAATACAATAATGTTATTTTTAAAAAAAGAAAGGGTGGAGTTATAGAGTTACATACTGAATAATAACATCAGTGAAGAGAACCAAGATATATTGTTACATGGAAAAAGTAGTTATAGAACATTGTGAATTGCATGATCTCAATTTTGAAATACAAAAAGCGTATATATATATATATATATATATATATATATATATATATATACACCCATATGAGAACTTTGTCTATAGAGAAATTTTAAAAGAATATATACACTCAACCCATAATAATGGTCACCTCTTAGGAGTGAGATCTGGGAAGGGCAGGGGAACTTTCACTACCAGTGATATTTAAGTTTTTAAATGTGTATGTATCACTTTTATAATTTAAAAAGATATAAGCTATATACCTATTGAACTGTACACTTAAGATCTGTGCATTTTACTTTCTGTAAATTATACCCTAATATAAATAAAACTAGCTATGAAAGTTAAATCAACCATGTTAAAACTGACATTATTGGACTAAGTAGGTTACTCTCTGGCAACCCATTTTTTTTTTTTTTTAGCTGAGCCATCCTGCCACCTGTTGGCAGCTCAGCAGCAGCTCAGCTCGGGCCGTGAATCAAACCAGGGACCCTGTTGCTCAGAGCTCAAACTCTTGAGTGAGCTCTTAACCAACTAAGCCACTCGGCCGGCCCTCCACTTTAAATGTATGTTTTTTGTTAGCTAGTAATTGAGAAATTAGGAAGCTAACACTTTATCTCATTTTATGTAATCATGATTATTTTGAAACAACACATTTGCTATTCTTAACATTCTTACTTATCCCCCACCCAAAAAAAAATGTTATTGCTTGGGAAACTGTTAAATAGGAGCTATTTGGGGGAGAAAAGTTGGTAATGATGATTTATTGCAGAGACATATTTAAGAATGACAAAACAAAATGCCTGCTATTTTGGTGTTTACCATTTGGTACATATACAACGTGACAATACCAGGGGTGCCAAACAGTAGTTTGCCGTAATCAGAAGTGTCTGGATGCTGATGGCAACCACTTTGAGCACCTCTTGTAATTGCAGAAGTCAAACATGACTTGTATTCATCTTTTGTTATCGGTATATATTGAGTATTACAATTTTAATGCAGTTTTCCTTTCTTAAAATATATATACTTTTTTTTGGCACCCTCTGTGTATAAAATTCCCTCAGGAAGCAACAGATCTCAATTTACATCCCTAAGTTGATTAAAGTTATGCACTATTTTTATGGCATCAAAATACTGTATGGGATGTTTATGAAGTCTTTTTTCTCCTTTCTGTGAAGGAATCTTCTGAAGAAGATAAGGAAAAAGAGGAGAATGCTGCTGTCAAAATCCAAGCAGCCTTCCGGGGACATTTAGCCAGAGAGGAGGTGAAGAAAATGAAAAAAGTCGATCTTCAAGAAGAGAAAACACAGGAAAACAACTGAGAAGACTGGTTTTACCCTCGCTTCCCCAAAACATGAAAAAATAATCCAAAGCCACCAATCTTGTTGTGATTGTCTTTTTTTTTCCTTAGTAAGGGAGATTTGATGTAGTGAAATAACACTTGTTACTATTGTGAAAATCTGTCATGAGCATTTGTTTAATAAACATGCCATTGAACACATGCCTCTTGAAGATTTCTCTGAGATCATAAGTCTTATTTATACTTCTCCCAAGTCTATGTTTAGAGACCCTTGGGTTTAGATTATACAACTGGAGTATCTGAGTTTTCAGAGATCTCAGAGGTTATATGGTCTAAACCATTTATCTAATGAATAAATCCTCTGTATCACATCCCTGAAAAATGGGGTTTGGGCTTCAGTTTCACTCCTAGTGATAAGAGAATTTCACTACCTTTCGAGGGTAGTCAACTTAATTTTTGAATACCATGAATTATTAGAAAGATAAGCTGAGTCAAAAATCTGCCTCCCTGTACGTTTTCATCTGTCACGCCTGCACTCAGTCATTTACTGAAAAATATATTGAGCACAATTCATGTGCTGGGATTTAGTGGTGAATATCTGTTCTTACATTCAGGAAGTTGACTGTTTCATTATCTTGCTTTCCAAAACAACACAGAGTAAGGCTAATACATCGTATTTGAAAAAAAAAATGAAAGTTATCATAACATCATGAAGACTCTCTTCTTCTGCTGATACTTCCCACATAATGTATAAATGGCAGTGTCTTCATCACAAACTCACAAACATTTTTTTTCAGTGAACCATTCAAGTCCCAGTGCCTTATTTTTAGAAAGTTCAGTCTGTCCTTTATGAGGCCTCCCACCCTTGAATAGTCAAGAAACTGCAGGGTTCATATCTCAGACCAAAAGATGCAGTTCCCTTTCCAAAAGAAAATGGAGAGAAAGTGGGTGCTTATCATTTAATCAATGCTGTTGCCTTCTACCACAATACGTAGTGTAGTCCAACAGATGGACGTAATGTCCTGGCTGGTTCAGATTCCTTTTGGCACTGCAGTGGATGTCCCAGGCTTTCGTTCTAGCATTACACCTCTGTTCACAGTCACATAGCCATTCTTCCCCAAAGCTCAATAACATGCCTAGGTAACTCGCCTTGAGGAGCTTCTAAAAACAGCTATATATTATGCATAACAAGTGGTCTCCTGCAAACACTTAGATCTTTGTCTTAAACTCAGACTTTCTGCAAAGCAGTGTTATTTCAGGTGCCCCATTGCCCTTCCCTATCACTGAACCCTTAGCAGGCTTCACAACAGAAGTCCACTCAAGTATTCTCCAGTCAAATACAGATTATTTATGCCAATGCTTTCAAGATTATGGCATTCATTCTCTAATCTCTGCTCACCTCTGGGCAGCCATCCCCTTTCCAAGGTCTTGATGGCACTGGAGAGCTGCATGCTAGCTAAACACAAGTCTCTAATACCCACTGGACCTCTTCCTCCCATCCTTAACCCTCCTCTCCCAGGCTTGGAAAGAAAAAAAAAATCAACTCTCCTTCAGGATTCCAGCTACTCATTCCCCTATTGCATTCAAAACACCAGCCTCCAACCCCTTTTCTCCTTAAGCAAAGCCATCCTGCTTGAGGAATTATCAACAGGACCCAGAATTAATGTAAAGACTTAGCTTCCCTGTCCTGAAAAAAAGACCAGAAGAGAAAAAGATTTTTCCCCCTCCTTGGGAAAAAAAAAGATACTAGTTAATGTTTTCAATAATTCTATTATACATGTAAAAGTGATTCACACTGTGCATTCCAGTAACACACACACACACACACACACACACACACACATCTAGTGGTGGTCATGTTTTTGGTGAAGGAGGAAAAGAGAAGGGAGGGAGAAATGGGTGTGGTATTATAATAACACATAGGGATAGCATTTATTTATTTATTTTATTTTATTTTATTTATTTTTTTTTTTAGATTTTTTTTTATTGGGGAATTGGGGGATGGGAACAGCGCTGGGGAATTGGGGGAGGGGAACAGACAAGTTGCTATGCTTTTGTTCTTCAGTCTAGTTGTGGAGGACGTTGCTTCACTGGCCCAAGTTGGCACCATCATTGCGCTCTTCCCGGGCGAGGCACATCAGTCGCCGGCTTCTGGACGGCCGCTCACGGCGGCTGCTGGCCGCTCACACTGGCTGCTGGCTACACACGGTAGCCCATGGCAACCCACTGCAGCATGGGCTGCAGCCTACGCCGTCGCCGGCGACTCTCGGCAGCCCAGCTCCAAGTTGAGCTGTTGTTCAGCATCTTAGCTGTAGAGGGCAGTGTCTCTGGCCCTCATATGTGGGATCCGAACTGGGGCCCTCTGGTGTCCCAAGCGAGTTCTTAACCATCGCGCCACTCAGCCGGCCCAGGGATAGCATTTATTAGCACTTATTTGTGGTTTTCTTCTTGTCTCTCTGGCTGCTCCTTGTCAATCCCCTTTGCTGGTAACTCTTCAACTTCCTAAATACTAAATGCTAAAGTGCCCCAGGCCCAATCCTTGGACCCCTTTTCAAGTGACCATGCTTGTTGATCTCATCCAGTCTCATGGCTTTAAAAGCCATCTACACACTGATTACTCCCAGATGTATACCTGTATCCATTGGACCTTCTCCATTCCAACTCCAAACTTGTATATTCAATTTCCTACTTTATCAACCTTATTTGGATTTCTGTAGGCAACTCAGACTTAACATGTCCAATAGCATGTTATTGCTCCTGAAACAGCTCCTGATATTACCCCTCAAATCTTTAATTCCCTCAGTTTTTCCCACCTCAGAAAATGACCATTCTATTCTTCTGTTTGCTCAATACAAAAAACCTAGAATTCATCCTCAACCCCTCTCTTTCTCTCACACCCCATTTACAATCTATCAGTAAAACCTGTGGGCTCTATCTACATAACATACTCAGAATCTGACCATTTCTATTATTACTACCCTGGTCCTAGTTCCCATCATCTCTCTCATGAATTATTGCAGTTACCTCTGTATTGGTCAGTCATTGACACATTAAAGCTGCACACCATCCCAACCTCAGGGATTTAAAAGAAACAATTACTTTTTCTCATGGGTCTGTGGGTCAGAAGCACTTTAGCCGAGCTAGGCTGGACTCCAGGCTCGAGATTAAGTTCAGGTCTGCTCTAGCTGAGGTTTTGTGGGTTGACTGGGGAAGGTCCGCTTCAGGCTATGCATGAGTCCAAGGGTAAACTACAGTGCCTGCTTCATGTGTCTTATTCAGAACCCATGCTGAAAATGCTACCTACGCCATGCTCTTCTCATCACAGAAGCACAAAAGGAAGAATATGTCAAGCTTTTGCTCCATAACACGTCCACTGACATCCCATTCACTAAAGAAAGTCATTTAACCAAGCCGCAAATCAAGAGGTGAGGAAATACCCTGCTCATCATAGCAAAAGCCTCTTGTACGCATACTGCCAGTACAGGGTAGTGAAGAATTGTGAAGAGCCAGTAATTCACTCGACCACAGTTGGCTCTCTTGGCTATAATTATTCACATTCTTTTCACATGTAAAATATATTCACTCCTATCCACGACTCCTAAAAGGTCCATCAAATATTTTAAATTCAGGATTTACATTAAGTCCAAATATGGCTCTTCTTGATGTAGAGACCTACAAATTAAAAGAGCGAGCATCTTCTTATATGCCCAACATACAACAAATGATGAACAGGGACAATATAGCCACACACAAAAATACTCTCATTCAGAAGAGGAATAATGAAAGCAAACAGCAGTCACTGTTCTACAACAATTATTAAATCCCACTGAGCGAAGGTATCAGGTTTTTCAATTTAGGGGAGGGGGGATAATGTTCCATGATTAGGCATTGGTTCTGCTCCCTAAGAATAACTCTTCAGTCTGTTCTCCATAGCTCTTGGTTCTACAGTCTGGGTAATCATTTTTTTCCCCATCATCTTCCTTAGTCATTTGGAAAGGGCACTGGAAAGTATTTCCTTCTTGGTAGGTAAGTGGGTTTCTCAACCTGATTCCTGCCTGTAGAAAAATTGAGAGCCCCAGGTCTGTTTATATCTTGCACATCTTCAGTCTCATAGTTGTTGGTAGTGCTTTTGCCCATAGACTTTTCTTAAAAACTTTGTGAATTTTCTGTGTTTGACTCCAGTCAAATCCATGTGCCAAAAGCTGCACCTACAATTTCTTTCAAGAAATGTTTCCCCCTTTCTCTCTAGATTTTAATTCTATTAAAAGGATAGATAAATTGGAACCAATATTTCAATACACTAAAGCCTCGTAACTGTCGTAAGTAGTCTCCCTGCTTCCACTTTTCCACTTTCAACAGAGCAGCCAGAGTGTCCTATTAGTTCAAGTCACATCATGTCATTCCTCTGTTTAAAACCCCCAATGGCTGCTCATCTCACTCACAGTGAAAGCTAAAGTCTTCATAATGGTTTACAAAGTTTTATGTGGATCTTGCCTCCTGTACCTCTATAACCCTTTTCCCTTATCTTTTTTATTTTTCTCCTTGATTCTGAAAGCAACTAATACTGTATCTTGTTTACTGTCCATTTCCTGCTGCTGGAATGTATGTTCCATGAGGATTGATATCTGCTATTTTGTTGACTGCCTAGAATCTTTTTAACGTGCAGCGGGAAAGAATGATCATTTCGAGTGGCTCATACAGAAGTGGGAGAAGCCCTAACAAATACCTTCTTCGATCAAATTAGCTTTGATTGGATTATATCAAATCATTGGATTATATCAAATCGCTTAAGAAATCATTGATAGCGGGGAAAGAGTTTGCTAATTAGCTTATACCTATCACCATCAGAACCTGCCTCTGGAGTAGGGGTTCGATTCTGCCCAGAAAACCTGGCTGAAAGTCAAGACAGTTTGAAGTCCCTTTGAGGAAATAGAGTAACATTGTCAGGAGGAGGAGTAGATAGTGGATGCTAGGTAGATAGCCAACAAATATCCTACACAATACTTTAATCGCCACATGGCTTCTCATTGCACTGTTTATTAAATTATCTGTCAAAACCAAAGACTAGAGGAGTATCAAGAATGAAAGGAAAGGGCCGGCCGAGTGGCGCGATGGTTAAGAACTGGCTTGGGATGCCAAAGGGCCTCGGTTCGGATCCCACATATGAGGGCCAGTGACACTGCCCTCCACAGCTAAGATGC